GCGGCGTTAAACCCAACTCACTCACTCACTCACATGAACTTGTTATTGGTCAGTTTGTGAAGTATACGATCCCGATACAGTGTAAGGAAAGAGATGTTTGTAATATTGTACTCGGGTCGTATATTCCTACAACTGACTAATAAAAAGTTCCTGTGCACTCAGCATACAATATTTCCTTGCGCTTTTATGAATGTCAGTGACAAGATGACAAGTGGGAACATAATATTATGCATCCCTCCTTCCTTCCCCCTCCTTGGAAACCTGTATCGGTTCCTAAAGCGTGAAAGCGGGGCGTGTCAATGCGAGATTGTCATGTTGAAGGAGCAAAGGCGTCGAAGGCGCGAACACAGATGTTTTATTTTTAAAAATTAAAAATCTGCACCCACTGTTTTCAGAAAAGCTGTTTCCACCCCTGACATTGTTCGGTAAACTTCTGTTACATTATACATTTCTGTGTGACAGTTTGTAAAATAACGGATCACTCGTTATCAACGGTACATAATTAGTACACAGGATGCATCGAATCACATCGTATTATTATGAAAAGGAAGCGAGGACTTACTGAAAGCCGCCATGATGACACCAGACATCCACTCCAAGCACTGGCCAGCGTCGCAAAAGTGATCTCCTCAAACAGTCACTCTTTATGTGATCGTGAGCGCGGCAACCAGAAAGAGCTGTTATCGGGGGTTTCTGTTTTCTGGTAAACATTTGACATTGTTTATTTCCATAAAAAACACACTGACGGTGGTACAAGGACGTAGATACAAGAAAGTCATTTGAAGGACAGAGGCATTCGCATGAGTACGTGAGTACACATTAGAATCCTTTAAGTTTCGTGTTAGTTATAAGAATTCATAACACCTTGTATTTTCACTGCTGGGGAAAGCTGTTGTCATATCACTGTAATACTGCCAGCGAAACTTTGAAAAGCTGGTCAGTTGGAATATATTATTTTCTTACACGAAAGGACATGACTGGTCGAAATGTTTTAATAAGATATGATACGACAATTTCCCTTAGGATAATAAATTAATATTGGATATATCTGTGTATTAACAATTAAACTAATTCATAATATCTTTTTACTTTCACTGACGGGGATAGTAGGAGCGTTAGTGTTAAGCGGCCGGCGAAACGGGGAAGAGTTGCTCAGTGGGAATTATTTCCTCAAACGCAAGGTCATGGCTAGTCAAATGGTCTACTTTATTTTCAAGCTACAAGGATAATGTGAAATATGACACGACAATTTTCCTGATTCTAATCTCCCTATATTTTTCATTTTCGGTTCGTGCAAGGTAAATCGACATTGTATGTGACTGAGACCGGCTATGAGGGACACGGTGACACCTCGTTAGTCCGTACCCTGTGCTTTCGGGATGATTACCGTTAGGAATGTCTACATTTGTACACAAGGCATATATCCGTGCCAATGATTCGTTTGTGCGAAACGTTGTTAATCCGGACTACTGCTACTACTACTACTACTACTACTACTACTACTACTACTACTACTACTACTACTACTACTACTACTACTACTACTACTGACCCGTGAAGATCTGGGGTAAAATTGGTCTTCAGCAACCCATGCTTGCCGTAAATGCTTATCATAAAGAGGCGATTAACTTGGCCGGGTGGTCAGGCTCGCTGACTTGACTGAAGCATGTCATCGATCCCAATTGCGTAGATCGATGCACATGCCATCATTTACTGGATTGCCTGGTCCAGATTCGATTTTTTACAGACCGCCGTCATATAGCTGGAATATTGCTAAGTGCGGCGTTAAACAGCAAACAAACTACTACTACTACTACTACTACTACTACTACTACTACTACTACTACTGCTACTACTACTATTAATACTATTTATGCGCGTCATTCTGAATGTTTACTGAAACGTTACCCTTATCAATAAGAAAACTGCATCGAATAAGTTCATTAATTTCCTCGTTTAACTATTATTTTCCTGTAAATATTAAATGAAGGTGAAGCATCGGCTTTGCCCTCAGGAATTTGCTAGTTCTTGCATGCTAGAATTATTTTCCATTCCACTGTCACATTTGGATCTGCGCACTCCCTCCTTCTTTGTATCATTGTTTCCATTTGGTTCAATTGTAAATTTTAGTTCTGATTTCATTAATAAAAGTGATGTAAACGAGATGTTTCTTGTGGCCTCACTGCGTATACATTTTACAGCTAATATCTCATATCTGTACATACTGAGTGAGCGAGTGAGTGAGTCTTGTTTAACGCCGCTTTGAACAGTAACTTTTGTCTCGAACTAGGAAGTGATGGATCACAGTCCAGTCCCGACACTCTCTTATTTGATTTATAACTATTTAATCCGGATGTGTCGAATTGGCTTTGGTTTCAAACATAACATGTACCCCTTCTGAAGTGCCCTCTTGTTATTTGGCGACCGACTGCCTCTGTTGTCTAGTGGTAGAGCGCCTGCCCTGTCAGCGGAAGGTGGGTGGTTTATCCACACACACACACACACACACACACACACACACACACACACACACACACACACACACACACACACACACACACACACACACACACACACACACACACACACACACACACACACACACACACACACACACACACACACACACACACACACACATGCACGTACCAAATCACATGCAATCGCACACACGCGCCATAAACGAGACAAGGCGATGTTGAATCCTTGAGAGGCAACAGGTTGTAGGTTGTGCGGTCCCTGAATGATCCAAGCACTCTTTCGAGTCGGTCTCCAATAAGCCTTTTGCTCGAGTCCATCGCATGCGGTTCTTGAGCAAGTTTCCAGCACTCCGTCCTCGTCGACAAGGTCCGTCCTCTGTGGCTCCTGTCTCCAATGCGCCTTGCTTGTTGACCGTGTCCCATGTGGTTCCTGGGAACATCCCCAGTACAGTGTCCTTCGCATGCGGTTCTTGAGCAAGTTTCCAGCACTCCGTCCTCGTCGACAAGGTCCGTCCTCTGTGGCTCCTGTCTCCAATGCGCCTTGCTTGTTGACCGTGTCCAATGCGGTTCTGGTCTTCTGTTGTCCTGGCGTTACTCGTCGAGAGAGACCACAAAATGAGAATCGGATGGACAGGCAGGATAAGCTTACCCTTTTAGCGAACACCTGGTGTCATCACTGATTTTCAAGGATCAACACATATAATTTTCATCACTGGTTTGCCTTCTACACCAAATGAAGTAGATAATCGAAAATGATTTTCTCTCATACGTGGCATTACCCCGGCAGAACGTATGCTTGTCGTAAGAGGCGACCAAATGGATCGCGTGGTCGGGTCCATGATCCATGGGTCCATGATGCCAATAACCAGACTGTCTGGCTCAGACTCCAAGAGACCTTGTTGATTGTGTACCAATCATTTGGCCTGGCCAAGAACCTGCTATTTACAGGCCGCATATATATATATACATACATACATACATACATACATACATACATACATACATACATACATACATACATACATATATATATATATAGATATAGATATATATATATATATATATATATATATATATATATATATATATATATATATCTATATCTATATATATATATATGCGGCCTGTAAATAGCAGGTTCTTGGCCAGGCCAAATGATTGGTACACAATCAACAAGGTCTCTTGGAGTCTGAGCCAGACAGTCTGGTTATTGGCATCATGGACCCATGGATCATGGACCCGACCACGCGATCCATTTGGTCGCCTCTTACGACAAGCATACGTTCTGCCGGGGTAATGCCACGTATGAGAGAAAATCATTTTCGATTCTATTGAAATGTATGTCATGGTGAAAAATCAAACAATGTTTTATTCCTGATATCTATCTTTAATAACAATTGTGCCTACTCATATAACATGGTTTATATTCGACTGATATAAAATGATCATGCATACATGTTTCTTTGTACTAGCAAATATATGTTGACAGACTAGACTATCAATCAACATGAACTCCTACATTACAGCAGGTTATGTATACTATATATACATCAGTTTGAAGCGAAACATTGTTTATCTCTTTTATGGTCCCATGCACTTATAAAATCAATAATAATTGCTATTACTGACAAAAACATTATATACATTGCATTTCAACGTTTCATTTTCCTGTATCTACACAATATACACATATATACACATGTATGTAATAATAAATGCTGTTACTAACAAAACACTTAGATTCATAATATGCACTGTATTTCAACGTTTCATTACTATGTATGTACACAATAGGTACACAATATCTTTACTTAATAAACACATTTGACAATATACTGACCTGACAATTATTGGAGACCCGACTTCTTCTATATTGACGGACCCGACAGTTCAGTTCGCTGTTGGCTGATTACTGACACATTATGTAACTTTCAGAAATGCAGCCTCTATAATTTTGCTTTTTCTCCAGCGTCTGTCAGAGGAAATACGGTACAGGGAACTGGTGACACAGCACCGATGAAGTGGTAGAAGATTAAACAGATGGAGTACATATGTTATAATTTGTAGGCTTATCATCTCGGGAATACGGTTGAAGTGCCCTCTATGCGGTCGTGAACTCCGATCCTATTGGGCACATAAACCTTATTCCTCTAGGGATAAGCCTACAACTAAATATCTTAAGTTTATCATTATCGTGTTTCTCATTACCAAAATTTGAAAACCATTTGTGATTTATATTCAAAGAATTATGTCGCCAAATTGACAGGTCAGATCAAGCTCGGTTTTCGGCTCTGTAAAAATATCAGTGCTAAGATACATTATGCGACTCCGTTTTGCTGTAAGGAGCTTGAGTTGCAGAGTGAGTGAGTGAGTGAGTTCAGTTTAACGCCACTTTTAACAGTATCTCAGTTATATCGCGGTGTGTCAGCTTAATGTGGGAGGAAAGCCCGAAGTGATGCAGGTCTCAGACGTTTACCACTTCGGTGAAACCCACGAGCACGGGTATGGTGCTGACAAACCTAGAAACATAATCGGGGCGAACCGGGACTCGAACCCACAATCATTGGTTTCTTGCGTGCCCAAGGGACGCAACTCTGCACAGCGAATCGCGGCGCCTTAGACGACTGGGCCACCCGTGCCCCCCTTGAGTTGCGGAGATTACAAAGATCAGTTGTTGCCATGTTGGTAAAGTATAAGCTTTTCGCTGTTGATTTACGCATCCGTCGGAATGGTTCCAATGGTTCTATAAACAATACAGTCACCGGAAGGCATCGGATGTCAAATAGATTTCAGAACAATAATGTATCAGATATATGTAATGTTCACTGGTACTATGGAACAGCCTGCGACGACGAACTGATCGAATTCTGACGATGTGATCGATGTCGCAAGGCCCGCCCTATGTGTTTCCAGAAGATGTGACTGTCAGCTTCACCGTGCGGGTACTCAATATAGGAATCAGACTGCAGCATATGAAGAAACTCCGGTGGGATATTCTTAGCGGGTACTGACTCATACATGATGATGATGATGATGTCCCTCCCACTACTGATGCTCTCCATCTGGGCCATGCGCAGTTCGTACGTGCACCAGTAACTGTTGAGAAAGTTCTGGGACAGAACCACCACCGTCTTCCTGCTCTTCTTGATGGCGCCAACGATGTTTGAAGCAATAGGCTCTCCTGGCATGAAGTCACGGTGGTGGATGTTGAGAGTCATACTGGCATCGTGTTCCAAATGCGCTCTCATGTCATTAATGACAAACCCTCGGTCTTCATCAGCATAGGAGACAAAGGCGTCGAATGCGAACTGATCTTGCTCTTCTTCAGCGTCGTTGTCCGTCATGTAACGTAACCTTGCAGCGTAATACAGATACCTTAACTTCCATCTGTACCGATAGACGATTGCAGAAACCATCAGTGCAATAACTACGACGAAGACGGATACACATCCTAGAGCGAGTCCGAAGTTGTTTTGACACTCTGCGGTTTGCTCATCTATCAGTTTCGCAAAGTCCGCCTTGTTCAGGATGTTTCTTCTGCTCGTGTTGGCCAGTAGACAATAGTAGCCATTCATATTATCAGGTGTTATCCCCGAAGTTAGCAGCCATTTGAGAAACGGAAGCTGATTGCAGGAACATGATAATGGATTACCTTGAAGATGTAATGTTAAGTTTGGAACCTTCGATTTAATTTCCTTGATATCATCCATGACCTTTCGTGACAACCACGATATTTGGTTGTGTGAACAGTCTATGACCTGTAGATGAATCAAGTGGTTGATTTTGGCGTTAAAGTTGTACATTCCGTTATTTGACACGTTTAAAATCTGTAAGGAATACAGATCGCGTAATACATCACCTCTCAGCCCTTTCAAATCATTATTGGAAATAACCAACTCTGTAAGTTGAGTCAGGTTTTTGAATATTTCACCCTTGGTATCTCTCTGTATCTGCCAACCAAAGAAATTATACGACATGTTCAAGGTGCGAAGATTCAAGGAGTTTGCGAGTAATGTAGGAGACATTTTCCTGGCTAGATTATTGGATAGATCTATGTATGTAACATTATCTAGCCCTCTTATATATCCATTGTCAAAGATGACAAGATTACTGGACAGATCAAGATAGGATAGATTTGATGCTTCAAAGCGTATTTTCCCGATCTGGAACGCCATTTGTGTGAAGTTCGACACTATCGTCTTCAGATTCGGCGGGAGTGATAAGTTGAAAAGAGGTGAAAAACGATCACTAACTGTCTCTGATTCGTACCAGACACTGCGAGATTGAAGTTCACTTTCAAGAACATCACGTTCGTCTATCTCATCATGGAAACAATACGGTGTCTCAGACTGGGCACACGTTTGGTCATCGACAGTGTCATCGTTTGGAACATTAATTGGGTATGGTTGTCCACTTAACCAAATTTCCTCGAGTCCCGTGAGAGAAGCTAAGTCACGTAGATATTGTCCGTAGCTGAATTTATTCCTCTGGGCCGATACGAATCGTAGAGTCTTGGGCAAGAGCTCCAGCGCCTTCATCTCAATATCTACAATTTCGTTGGAATCAATGTACAGATTTTCTAGGGAGGTGTTGAAGAGGTGAACAACATGTGCCTTGCGAATTACTACACAACTAGTATGCCTTAACACGATGTGATTGGCTTTCAGGGTTGTGATGTTCGTGAACTGTAGTCCATACGTTCCGATGCCAAATGATTGAAATGTGAGTCTAGAATTACCAGATATATCAAGCGTTCTTAGTTTCCTCAGTTGCGAAAAGGTCTCATTTTCAATGTGGATAATAAAACATTTTGATACATCCAAATATTCCAAGAAAACAGTGTTATTAAATGTAGATGCTGACAGTGTTGTTTGGTTACAAAATCCGTTTTTCCCAGAGGCGGTAAGATGAGTTAGTTTTGTAAGGTTCCTGAAGCCCGGTCCAAATTCCCCATCTGGAACGCCATTGATGAAGAGAGTTTCCAAGGATGTAAGCCGGCTCAGAGCTTCGTCGGGGTATTCAGTCATATTGTAGTTATTCAGCCAGAGCGTTTTAAGGTTGTGTAACCCTCTGAACGAATTTATCGTTAATACAGATGGCTCGATAATACTGTGGGATAAATTAAGGACTCTCAAACTGCTCATGTTTTCAAAACCATCTTCCTCGATGGCGTTTACGACATTGTAGGACAGGTCAAGATGCGTCAAATTCCGAAATCTTGCAAATTCAAAGTTGTTTATGCATGATAAATTGTTGTGGTCGAGGAGAAGAATGTTGACTCCATCTGGAATTGTAACGTTTGACAGAGACGTTAGATGTAGAGAGCTGCAGTTGACTAATTTGTTGTCATGACTGACATTACATCTTGGCCGGTCAACATTGCTGCTGCCACTTCCCGTGGCCTTGACATTCTGGTTCTCTGAGAGAACGAAAATTCCGCAGATAATGGCAGCATGGATGGTATCTGAAATTAGGGTTATAAAAGATGATTATTGACGTTACCAATTAATAATTCGCACGGAAAGCAGAAATTCAGGACTGACGTGGTCCTGAGTAATGAGTTTATATTGCTTATGGAATTACTTACTATAATTATTTATTAAGTTATCTGTCCCCTATGAACGATAGGTGTGTGTGTGTGTGTGTGTGTGTGTGTGTGCGTGCGTGCGTGTGTGTGTGTGCGTGTGTGTGTGTGTGTGTGTGTTGTAAAATGGGTTCACTAGCACAAGGCATGTCATTACAGATTCCCTATAGAAGTAATGAAAGAATCTGATGGTCCTTAACTTCATTTGAGGAGCACATATGGAAATATATTTTGGAAAACTGTAATGTTGGAATTAGGGTTCAATAGTAAAAGGTTTAGTTGCTTGCAGCTCGTTTGCGATATAAATAATGTGAGCTAAAGAAACTATTGTTTGACGAGCAATCATACTTATGAATGTTATGATGTAATATGCTTTTCCTGAATGGGGATGTACAATGCTTAACACAACCACGTCTGCCCTGTTTCTAGTGCATTTATTTCCTCCTAGTACCCTGAAGTGATCGTGAACTGTATACGTAGATGTCGTACCCCTGTTTCCAGTGCATTTATTTCCTAATAAACTAGTACCTTGAAGTGATCATGAACTGTACACGTAGATGTCATACCCCTGGTTCCAGTGCATTTATTTCCTAATAAACTAGTACTTTGAAGTGATCATGAACTGTATACGTAGATGACGTATCCCTGGTTCTAGTGCATTTATTCCCAAATAAACTAGTACCTTGAAGTGATCATGAGCTGTAGATGGCATACCCTGTTTTTAGTGCATATATTTAAAAAATATCTAGTACCTTGAAGTGATCATGAGCGGTATACGTAGATGTCGTACCCCTGTTTCTTGTGCATATATTTCCGAATTAACTACCTTGAAGTGATCACGAGCTGTAGATGGCGTGCTCCTGTTTCTAGTGTATTTATTTCCTTAATATTTTTAGAGAGCTGATTGATACAGAGATAGCAGAGCTGTTGAAGGACAATGTCCACTTGCACAAAGCGATCTTTGCGCTACGACTATCGTAAGCCTATGTTATAGTATGGGAGTTACGATCATCTTAGCAATAAGATCGTTTTGTGCAAGTGGGCCGGTTGGAAAGCTATCTTAAGTCTTTGAGGAATACGATAATTAATCAAACAGTTTTATCTGGAATCTACACAAAGGCCTTGGACTTTGTCATTGTCATCGTAGAAATGTTAAGCTCACATCCGTCCAGTCAAGACTGTCGTTTGATTGATTGAGATCATGCTAAAAGTAGTGAGATTCCGTAAGTGGGTCGGGGCGCACAAAAATTAAATAAGTATACAAAATTTAATTAAAAGCAATTTTTTTTATTCAAACAAGTTGACTTTGGTTTAACATGTTTAAAACTACGTAATTGGGGATAAAAACAGGGTACGTCGGAATAGTGGTTTACATACAAACACTGGCCGTCATATCAGAATAAACTTTGAATTTTGTAGGTTTTCTGCACATGGACTATTCGTATTGAAAATGGGTGCATCTCAGTATTGGTTAAGCTGCCTTATCATGGGGTTATCATTATGCGAACCTGCACATTCGTGAGAGCAGCCAAGTGTGGCTTGTTTTATTATTCCTATATTGAGATACCACAAAGCCATAATGAACGAAACTACACCCATATATAAATGAAGTTTGAAGTGTATTCCCATGTTCAAGACCCGTGAGGATCCGGGGTAGAATAGGTCTTCAGGGTATTAATTGTATTAATAAAAGGCTTTGATCAGATACGTTGGACAGTTATATATACTTCATTCAGGAATCAAACTTGAATATTTTAGATTGCTGATATCTCAAATAATGTCATTATGGTTTGGATCTGTATGGCTTCATGGTATCCGCTTACCACCTGCATTCAGCACATGAATGTGTGGGGGGCACGGATGGCCCAGTCGTCTAAGGCGCCGCGATTCGCTGTGCAGAGTTGCGTCCCTTGGGCACGCCAGAAACCTATGATTGTGGGTTCGAATCCCGGTTCGCCCCGATTTTGTTTCTAGGTTTGTCAGCACCATACATGTGCTCGTGGGTTTCACCGAAGTGGTAAACGTCTTAGACCTGCATCACTTCGGGCTTTCCTCCCACATTAAGCTGACACGCCGTGATATAACTGAAATAATGTTAAAAGCGGCGTTAAACCAAACTCACTCACTCACTCACTCACATGAACTTGTTATTGGTCAGTTTGTGAAGTATACGATCCCGGTACAGTGTAAGGAAAGAGATGTTTGTAAATTGTACTCGGGTCGTATATTGCTACAACTGACTAATAAAAAGTTCCTGTGCACTCATCATACAATATTTCCTTGCGCTTTCATGAATGTCAGTGACAAGATGACAAGTGGGAACATATGCATCCCTCCTTCCTTCCCCCTCCTTGGAAACCTGTATCGGTTCCTAAAGCGTTAAAGCGGGGCGTGTCAATGCGAGATTGTCATGTTGAAGGAGCAAAGGCGTCGAAGGCGCGAACAAAGATTTTTTATTTTTTTAAATAAAAATCTGCACCCACTGTTTTCAGAAAAGCTGTCTCCGCCCCTGAGATTGTTCGGTAAACTTCTGTTACATTATACATTTCTGTGTGACAATTTGTAAAATAACGGATCACTCGTTATCAACGGTACATAATTAGTACACAGGATGCATCGAATCACATCGTATTATTATGAAAAGGAAGCGAGGACTTACTGAAAGCCGCCATGATGACACCAGACATCCACTCCAAGCACTGGCCAGCGTCGCAAAAGTGATCTCCTCAAACAGTCACTCTTTATGTGATTGTGAGCGCGGCAACCAGGAAGAGCTATTATTGGGGGTTTCTGGTTTTAACTTCCTCGTGTGTGTGTACAATGGACAAACTAGCACAACCTACTTACAGCATGACGTGATTTTCTATTTCTGTGCTAGTATTCATTCGATGGGAATTTTGGAGCACATCATCCCTGCATGAAAGAAGAGGGGGAATGTTTCCAATTGCTAATGTGTGATTAAGGAACTTATTGGTCTACGGCTCCGCTATTTGCTCTTCAGAGTTGCCTCCCTTAGGCGTGCGAGGATTCAAAGATCGCGGATCTGAATTCCTTATTCGTCCTGACTGTGAGCCTTGGTTTGTAGGCATTGGACTCGCGCTCGTGGGTTTCATCAGAATGGTAAACATTTGACATTGTTTATTTCCATAAAAAACACACTGACGGTGGTACACATTACGAGAGTACACATTAGAATCCTTTAAGTATACAAGAGACAAATCTGCTGAGGTTTCGCAGTCCTGAGACTTTAGGGGTACAAAATAGTTGTTGTAGTTTATGGCTTGAGAGAGAGAGAGAGAGAGAGAGAGAGAGAGAGAGAGAGAGAGAGAGAGAGAGAGAGAGAGAGAGAATTCAATAAGTGGAGTAATTTTGAACGCAGTCTCAGTATTGGCTAGATCAACTCGTACCACGTTACCACGGACCGTTATTCGGAATATATAAAAAAGTGTAATGAAAACTTTAACTTATAGTGTAGTCCTAGCCGACGCATAACAATAGTATTTGTGGCGTCATAATGCCTAATATGATGTAACAGTGACAATAGAGGGAGAAGTAAAACGTAGTCCTACGCGACAGCAAACGTTATGCTTTTGACGTCATAAAGCATATGACATCATAGCTAGCTATAGTGATAATAGTGGGAAGTCCATTCGTAAGTATACACACACACACACACACACAAACACACAAACACACACACACACACACACACACACTGAGTTAGAAGACAAAGGTATACATAAGAACGACACGTGAGAGTCTGACTACAGACAAAGGTACATATGCGAAAGACACTTGAATGTCCAACTGTGTAGACAAGGGTAAACCTGGATGACACCCAGGTGTCTGACTGTATAGGCAAAGGTACATGAGTCCTTGTTGTTAATATGTGGAGAAAAAGGTATATCGGAATGAACCCTACATGCGGGTGTTGACTATTCCAGAAAACAATGTACCACCAGTTTGTTTTAATGATGTTTTACGACATACATAGGAACCTGATGATTTCACAGTGAAATCCACATGTAAACGGAGACAAATACAACTAAATCCTGCAAAACCAAAAACTATTATACTGAGATATTCTCCTAAAAAATGATATTTTGTAACATTAGTGGAAGTAAAAATAGAATGCGATCGTGTTATCAGATGTTAATTTTTCCTCGTGTCGATTTTTGTGACGGGTACCCTGTTTTATTGTTCATAACATGTAGCGTAATGGCGTGACTTCATGATGTAAAGGCGGCAATTTGATTGGATAGCCTGCTCCGGGGGTCACAGGGAAGTAATACATCCCATTTGGTTCATTGGACGGGGAGAGGCGTGAGTGGGACACGGGGAAGTACCGTTAAATGAGTTTCGACAGAGCAGAGAGTAAAAGTGTGCAACATAATGCGGTTATCGATACTGAATATGAGTTTTTTGTGCTTTCGGATCAAACAAATGTGAAGATATTGTTTCTCTAGTCCATGTCCGTACTTTGTATAACAGAAAATTAAATCACAGGAATTCGTGTACCAAACGAATTTATAATTTATTATACGTGAAAGTGTACATAGGTGTTCGGTATTATAAAGGCCTGACATTTGGCAAATACGATTACGTGTTATAACTATCTGTGTACCAGGGTGTTACATGGGTACGAGTGGGACTATAACTGATACATGAGTATAGCGCGACCGTAGGTCCATATCCCCGAGGAATACACAATACACAAGCAAACACAGATACGCACATTCACGCACGCACGCGCTCACACGTGTAAACGCAATCTCACTCACATGAGCACCCATCGTGTAATCGTCTGATCATAGGTTTTCGGACATCATACGTTTTCCGACGATTACTTGCTCTAAACCAAGGGGTGTGACGTAACACAGACATAGTAAATATTCCGATGATAACCTGTTTATAAGATAAAGTCGTCTTTGATTAAATGAGTTAGATGTTTTACAGTTGTTCTTCTGATTAAATTACAAATATTTGTCAAGCATCCGAAAACGTTATATAAAGTTATATATAATATTTGTAACAAACTCAAATTCGGTTATTATGACGATGACTTGATGAATACAATAGCCCAGTGCCTCAACTGAAAATCTTGCAAAGTCATCTATTCAGGAAATATTACCGTATTCGACGTTATAAGCGCCACGCTCTAATAAGCGCCCACGGCGATATTTGCTAATATATTGGCTAGTGAACAATTCCAATTGGCACCCCTTCCGATTGATCAATGTACACAAGACTTATTTATTCATGTATAATACGCACTCGTGTGTTATATGCACCCTTTATTATGGGCAAATAAATTCTGGAAAAATATATCTGTCGTATATAAACATTTCAGGCTGTCAGCATAAACCACGAAATTTATCTTTTAACTCAAAATAATATTCTAATAAGAGCCCCCTATTTGTAATTTTGAGGGCGTCCTGGGCGCTTATTACGTCGAATACGGTATCCTCGAGTTGTGATGCGTGTAGACATGTGGTGAATCAAACCCGGGTCTTCGGTGTGACAAGCTAACACGTGGTCCACTGGGCTCCTCTAACGCGACATTTCTGGGTATAAACTGCCGCCAATACAAGCAAATTTAAATTGTTATCGTCAAACTTGACTTTCACTGCTTGAACCAAATGGGGTAAAAATCCGTCAATAGGTCGAAATAGGTCGCGAAAATAAAAGTGTTAGTAAGAAAGCATGAGAGAATGGCGCGACGAATAAAGAATGAAAGAAATGTGTTATATGAGTTGTTTCTACTTTCTAATTGTTTAAAAATATATATTAAATTTTATTTTATGTTTGTGAAATCTTGGCTCGATGGCTCTGTGAAACAAGTACTCAGTCCTACTACGTACCTCAGTTGCCAGTCAATTATCTTAAAGTTGTCGTGTCGCTGTCATTCCACTTGTCAACTTGATTTTTTCCCCCTTATGGTTGCCAAGGACAAGATCTTTGTAAGTGAAACGCCGTTAATAATGACCGAAGCATGGCATAACATAGTGAAATATCCAGGTCACCTTACCATCGTTTGCGTCAAATTTAAACATATGCCCATTTGTCTACGCGAAAATGTACTCGGTCATGAGCAATCACACTTTGTAAAACTCTCTCGATCCTGCATATATTTGATCCAGGATTTGACAAATGGTTCGCATGACAAATATACTTCAGTACATTTACGCACGTGTCCAAAGATATGCGACCGCCTCCGTGGTTTTGTGGATAAAGCGTCTGCCAGGAGAGCGAAAGAAGGTTGGTTCGATTCCCCACCGCGTCATACCAAAAGACGTGAAAAGATGGTATCCTGTCTGGAGCTTGGCATTAAGGGGGCTATCACAAGGACTGGTCGGCTCGGAGTCAGTATACTGATCCTTAGTGGGGTATCCATGTATGTATCAAAATAATTGAAATAACGCGGAAATAACGAAGTAAAGAGAACGGGCTCGAAATGTCGAGAAAATAACTGAAATAACGAGAAATTTCGATTAAAAAAAGGTAATGCTACCAAAGTGGCGCCATCACCTGCAACCTATGCTTGTTTGTTGTTTAAGGCAGTCCTCGGCAATATGTCAGATGTATGACTTCCGTCTGTAAATAATCGAGTCTGGACCAGGCAATCCACGGAACAAACATGCCCAAAAATTTATTTACTCATGAAACACCGTGAAGATCCGGGGTAGTATAGGTCTCCAGCAACCAATGCTTGCCTTAAAAGGCTACTACGCGACTAACAGGATCGGGTGGTCAGGTTCGCTGACTTGGTTGATGCATGTCATCGTATCCCAATTGCGTAGATCGATGGTCATGATGTAAATCACTAGAATGTCTGGTCCAGACTCGACTATTTACAGACCGCCGTCATATAGCTGGAATATTGCTGAGTGCGGCGTTAAGTCAAAAACAAACAAAACAAACAAACATAACGTCAGTGGAGGAAATGAATATACATCAACCAATAAGTCTTTCGGCGGGCCCATTAGGAAGCTCATAGCATCTTACGTGTAAACATTCCCCCGTACCAGGGACCAGGAACACAATCTTGTTGGCACTGTAGGGCTGTGTCTCAAGTACCAGCAAACCGTGCCCAACGGTGCCCTTATATCCCTACACGAAACAGGCTGCACGTGGATTTCCGAGCGGGAGAATCATTCCCTTATACCCCGCTTCGAAGCAAAAGGCCGCACGCTTTTTCCGTGTTAATGAAAGTCATGTGACAAAGCACAAGTTCATTTAAGCTTCAACGAACAGCTGAAATCTATCAATTTTCAATTTGTTTTGATTCTTTTACAATGGCAGATTAAAACCTGTCGTTAAGATAAATTCGTTGCAGCAGTATAACTCGCGGTACATGCGCGGTACATGCGCGGTACATGCGCGTTACATGCGCGGTACATGCGCGGTACAAGCGTCCCTCGTTAGGTTTTATACCACTCGCATCCGGCTCGCGGTATAAAACCTAACACGGGAGGCATAGAACCCAATGTGCCCCTCGTTGTACTGCTACAACGTATACTATTACATAGTAGATGCACTTTATTGACAGGTGAGAATCCTCATCCTTTGTGATGGAAGAATTACAGTCAAACATGTCTTGCTTGACAGCATAAATTTTTCCTAACAAGGGATAACTACTTCAAAGTTTCATCTATAAAAGATCTTTTAAAGATAAGTTCTCTAATATAAGTTACTTTTTGTTTTTTAAGTAATTATATTAACTGATAGTTTTTGATGAACAAAGAGGGTCATTCAAAGTATTTTTATGCATGCCAGATGTTTAAACGTAACGACT